CTCATCGCTGACCGAAGCGCCGACGCATCATTCTGCTTTGCCAGAGTCTTGAGCTTTTTGTGGTGCTCCATAACATCATCACCTTTGTACATCATGATCGTGAAGAAGCGTAGACGAAGAAAGAGCTCATTCGACAAGCTCTTCTTCTTGTAGTCTAGTTCCTGTATTGACCATGCATCGTACGCGCCAATCGCTGAACGGACTAGCGGCAGCTGATTACCTTCCGTTAGCTAGTCAGATGATCGCCAGCGCTTTGCGCAACTTCTTCCTTGACTTTATTTGATTCATAGAGTTGTTACAGTGCTCTAGCATGACCTATACGCTCGTAATTTCCACAGGTCACACGCTTCTAGTACCATCTGCATCTTTTACTTCCATGTGTGTAAGTTAGTCCATTAAAACTTGATGATGCGGGCGGTCGGGTTGAGGTAGAATCCATGGCAAAGGCAAAGTTTGAGTCTTTACTTAAGAAGGCAGGCTTGATTTATAACTTTCTGAAAAGGAGTCGGGCACTCATTGTTTGAATGGATAGAAATTACATTAAGGCGCTATTTTTGCAAATTCTTTTGCTTATTAAGCCTACTGGATTCTTTAACTGCATTTATAAAATGCAGACGGCGCATTACCAATTTTTCAGTAGCGTATTAGTTATCGTACACCTCACATTACGAATCGTGCAGTCGCGTTTTATCAATCGCTCATTGCGCATTGATAATCGTACATGGGCGTATGAGTAAACGCACTTCGCGCATTACAAATTTGTACGGTCGCGCATCACTAATCTCCACTTCGCGCAAAAATGATCGGCTAAACGCTTGATTATCACTATCTGGCCGAGGCGCTTCTTCAAAAACAGACATATCGTCATCAACAACTCTTACGCCATCCCCGATGCGTACATCGACGAAAACACGGTGTCGATCGGTGTGAATTTGGGTGGGAGACGGTCAATATGTGGAACGGTCTGATCCACGCGTATGTCAGACGAAACTTTCGGGTACGGTCATCTCGAATATAAAGTTTGCAGCTTATAGCATATTCTGCGTAACCCAAAACGTTATCGATCTTGGAGGTATGGAGCAGCTTGTGACGCCGTTCGTCTTCTTCTACATGCACATGTACCAACGAACCGAACATCCGAAGATGATAAATGTCTGGCCGTATGTCGAAAATTGTATTTGCACGGTGTGTCTGCGCATCCACAAGCAAAGGTGCGGTTTTTGATAAAGACAGCATAGCGAACGATTTTTGCACAAGATCCGAGACATTCCAAGTGCTAAAAAGCAAAACATTGCTCGTGTCATCTCCATCAACTTCCATTGCACCCGCGAGTATGGCTTCTGCTGCGAACAGGCTCGTATATCTTTTACATGCTCTATGTCGCGAGTATTTAAACACTGTGTGAGTTCGGCACTCTTAACTTCAGCACGTTTGTCCATTAGTAGTTTTCGTATCGGAAATACATCTTCACCATTTTTCTCGCTTACATTGCGGCAAAATTGTCGTTCAGACCAAGCAAATTCCTATTTCAGCGCTGCAGTTACTGCACCTGCTAAATGTTCACTTCACGCAACGTGATGTGATTTTGTTGATGTTGATGTGCGCAGGCGAAGGCAAATTGTGAAGTGAATATATTTATGGTCCTTAGTTCGCAAACTTGCTTCGCTACCTCTAAGCCACTCATTTCCTATACTTAGACAAACTATATCAGTCCCACTGATTTAGCTAGACCAATGAACACCCTTCGATCTTCTCAAGATCTTCTAGAAGGTTCACTGGTTTATCTAGACCAATCAACACCCTTCGATCTTCTCAAGATCTTCCAGAAGGTTTAAGAAGCTCTCCTTGTGACGTCACCCGATGACGTCATGCTGTGCTTCTTCTCAGCCAGTCCTTCTCGATTCTTCCAAACCTATCCATGAACATAAAAAGCAGTAGACGGTGCTATGTTAACAGATTTATATCTTTGGTGAGACTTAAGGGGGTGGGAACCATTGATTCGGTACACGTGGACGATATAAAATCCATAAATGGCGTGTGTAAAGCGAGTATTGCTGATTAGATGAGGAATTTTTTTTAACACTGCATCAAACACGCATGTTGTTGGAGATGAGCGATACTTCAATTACTATTGGGAGCTTTCGATAGACGGAGCGACTTTCGTGGCGTCAAGCCAAGCTTTAAGGAGCGACCAGTTATAGCTGGAATGATCATACTAGAAACGTTGTCGATGGAAAGACAGTCATACAAAGGTTGGGCATCCTCACCATATGCGCATTCGTGTTTCCACTTTCCTCCAGCCTTGCATTCCAGAGCTTGTAAACTAGCTGCTGTACACGATGTTTGCGAGCAGTAGGGCCGGACTCGTCTTCGTACATAACCACCAATGTTTTACGGTTCTGTTGTTGTTGTGTACTCACACACCTGGTGTAACATATTGTGCGTGAAGATGTAGCGCTTTGCTCGGAACTAGAGTTGGATGTGTGCCTCTTGGTCTTTTGCCGTCATATGCATCGACTTGTCGTACCACTCGTCAATTTATTGCCTACCTTCTGTTCACCGAAGACATTCCGCATAAATATATTCTAAGACTGCTAGTCACGCCCGTCCGACTCGATCTGGACCCCTTCACTTGTGTACTTCTACTTTCTCATCTTCTTCGTCGAGTTTGATACGCATCTTAGCTCACAACCCTGTTTACAGTAGAAGCTTTAGATGTTTGTACGAGTGTGTGTTTTCACAACATTTTATACATACCTGCGCGTTCGGCTACTCCTGTTGCGCACTACTATTTCTTGCAGCGCTGTCCAGACCGAAAGCTTCTCCTACGAATTCTTTCGAAATAATGCGACATTGTTGTCACAAAGTCGTCACACAAACCCTGTCGCCGATCACCCACTGAGCTCTACCACCTGTTGCTGCTTATATAAATACAATGTTTACTTGAAATGGGTACATGCGCTAGTGAGTCGTAAGACTGTTTTTTCTCATGATAATTTTTATGTCGTATTCGTTTTTATTAGCCCCGCGTACGCGCGGTGGATGTAAGATTCATTTAGTATACCCAATTCTTTGTAGATTCCAATTTTTCCTTGTGTTTTGAATCTTTCATTGTGCAATATATATTATCATAAAAGCACTCAGGAGGGCGTTTATATCGTGTATCAGAAAAGTTTCTATACAAACGCGCGCGTGAAGCTAATGCGGATGCTACTAGTAGCACGAAGATGTTAAAACACCACGACAAGTGGCATAGTGCTTTACGAGAGTCCAGTCTTAATTGCTGCTAACGAGGTGAAGGAGACTGCACGTTTGCGTAAGTAAGAGTTTATTACAGTAATGCACGACTGACAGCGCCTACAAAGTCAATAATTTTGCACTCATTAATGCAGACTAAAACAATTATCGATCTACAATTTCTTAAGCCGTTAAGTTCTGTAGGTGCTAGTTTATTCAAACTTCCACATCGATATGCTTTGTAACCTACAATCCTGCAATGGTCGCATCTTCTTTTCATGAATTCAATCGATGCAACAGAATCTGTCAGAGGTTAAAAATGTAGCAGTAAGTAACCATGAATTCGATCAAGGTTACTGCTACAGTCTTTAATTGCGACAGATTCTGTTTTATCATTGATACAGAAATTATTTTTTTCCGGTAGATCTCGGTGGTCTCCCTCACAGTTACACAACGTCTACAAAAGGACATCGCTTGCGGTATCTGAAGCGACGACATTCATGTTTCCACACGGCATAGTGCAGAAAAGGAGTGATGCTATAAGAATGTGGCAAATTGACGTTTAAACGCAGTAACATAAAATAGTAAGATGTATGTTGTTCTCTTCATCCATTCCAAATAATCAGCCAATCACGAAGCGCTAAATCACACGAAGAGGATTCGTGCCAAGATCTGGGGTGAGATTAACAGTTCCCGATACTTTGTATATTGCTGCTTTACCAATCAGCCAAAGGCAATTTTTTTTACTTTTTGGATTATGCAGCGAATTCTCTATTCCATTTCCAGTACATTTTTGCTGTTTGGGGGCGCGAAAGTGGATCTGTAAAGCTTTTTCGCTAGCAGGTTTCCTAAATAAAATTAATGAAGTGCTAAACATTCCCTGTTATGGATGCATAGAGAAATGTTTTTTCGATCGCCCTCGCCGACGATTATCAGTCAATATGTTGTAGTTGGTCCTGGCATCAGTGGTAAAAATAAAGACAAGATAATATTCGTTTTTAGTATTCCAGAAAAGACAAATATGTACTAGTAAAGTCATACAAGCATGGTGGATTTTTTTAGCTGAATTGCGTATGAGTCTACAGCTAAAAGTGTGACCCTAAACCTGGATCAGAATTTGATGAATAGACGTTGGGAAAATGGCAAGACATCGAAATAAGGTGCTATGTGTGTAATTTTATATTGGAGCAGCCAAAAGGGTTCTACAATGTGAGCTAATGACGTTAAAGTGTTATAGTAATCATGATACACACTGTAGACAAGTCACTGAGTATTACGACCCGCTGCGCCAATTCACGTGCGGTTTCGAACGCATTCAAAATCAGTTTTTTTTCTTTTGACGCTTTTGATGTGATCGGATTGAAACGCCATTCTTAAGTCACCTCGCCCGCCAACCTGCACGCTTGTGCGTCATCGCATTTCGCGTTCTGGTTGTCTATTTGACTGCAAGTTGTCGCGCTGCGCTAAAGTTGATCGATTACTTGGATCATTTACCGACCTCTGGGACGGAGACGAAGGATCGTATAATTTGTTCACTTCATTCGTCACACGTTATTCCCTTATTTACAAATTGCAGCTGAGTTCGATGGTAAATTATGCGGAACACATCTAAAAAATGACCCGGACCGGAAAGGTCGCCCGGGTCCGGCTGGTCCGGATCACGGGTCGGGGTCTGACCCGGACCAGCGGCCCAAGGTTGAACCATTAATTGATCATAGATTTACCGCCTCATTCGTGTACGATAGTGTGTCCACTGATCGTCAATGGCGGACGACCCACCTCCGCTCAGCAAGAAGCTGCGTCGGAAGCAGGAGAAACGCAATGGCTGGCTGGCTGGCTGCGTGCAAAGCTTCTCAATTGACTGGTGGGAATCCCAAGTTCTCACGGAAGCGTCGGAAATAGTGTCAAAGCCATCGGGGCGCACATCTCGAGCTCTTCCCCTCCGTCCGCCCGTATCCGTGCTCGTCCACCACGTGTACTAATCGATGAACAGGCAGTGCGTGTGTCAGTCCACCATATTGATCATTATGTGTATCGCTTCGCCTCGTTTGCTAAGGTTCGGTCGGTGAACGGGCAAGTCCTTGGATGAAGTGGTTGCTCGCGAGGTTCCGACGCTCTCTCCCGGGTATTGCGCCCCGGCGGTGCAATTGGGACTCGTGTGAGTAAATGGAAGCGAGGCAAGTCTGGACTCAGTGATTTAAAGTGGAGACTTTATCGACCACTTGAAGCACCGACATGAACCGAATGTCCATTGTCCAGTCGGCAGAGAAGGCGCGTAGTCTTATGACCGAGCTGACGGCTTGTTCGTTGGTCAGAGGTGCGGAAATTTGCGTCACGCAGACGTTTTACATCGCACGAGTGAAAAACGGGCGAGTTCCCGCAGGATGAAGCAATTTCGGCATAGGTGCATGTTAAAGGCTTGTGCTCGAGGCTGGTAACGATCGAAGCTGCGGGTGACTGCTACTGGCGTGTGATGGCTCCAATGAGATTGAAGTCGCCACGCCAAGAACATGTGCGATGTGTGACGGAGCTCCGTCTGCAAAGTCTCGTGTTACGCTCATGCATCGTCCTACAAAAGAAATGGAAGGGATGGTCAAAGCCTTGTCGGGGAGAGTCGACTTGTGACAGGACGGACGCACCACATCCGCGTCCATTCACAGCATTGGGCTTCCCCATTGTGAATGATCCGCTTTGCGGCCCCGTGGCGATCGAGAGTAGAAGACCATCAAGTAGAAGACCATCAGCACAGGTTGCAGTTGCAGTGCAAGTGTCAGGCACTATCAATGAGTGATCATATACGGAACCATGCAGTCTTTTGAATTCACAGATCAAGACAAGGAAGAGCGATGTATCGTGAATGATATTTGCATTGGTGCACGCCAACAATACTTGCTTCTCCGTGTTGACTAGAGTCGATTAAGGAGACCAGACACTTATCTACAACAACAATTGTAAAAGCATGCGAAATGAAGCGTTGTGTGTTTTTTATTCTGAACCTCGTACTATTGTGTTCTTCACATACAAAGCTGATAAAGTGGCGGTGACTGTACCAGTTCGTCCACTCACGCTACCTGCTAGAACATCACACCAACACTACGTTTAACCTGATCCGTCTATGCCACCTCGCAGCCAAGTTTACTTGATGTCGAGCTTCGCCATTTTTGACTGGTGGCATGTACAATCTTCCTCGTGAGGTCTCATTCTTTTACTTTCCTCTACAAGAGGAATTTCCATGACATATTGCTTCAGCTCCTTCAGGTTATCGTCAGTGTCCAGCGTGTCTTTTGCCTTTTTCCTCCTGCTTTTCTGATAGTTTTGAAATTCAAAATCCCCAAAGACATCAGCTGGAACAACAAAATACAACCGCGGTTCAGCTGGATCTCCAAGCATATCCAGAACTCTGCGAAGACCTTGACGTTTGCAAGGGTGCACTTTTGCACAAGTCATTTGGAAAAGTTCATTCGGCGTGCCCATTGCGTCCACCGATTCAAAATTACCAGAAGCAGGCAACAGGTATGTTGGCGGATCGTCAGCGGTCACTCGAGCGTTTCCCTCGAAAACGGTAACTTCCCGTTCTTGCAACACAACTTCTTCAATATCTTCATCAGTGGTGACTCGTGTAATCTTGCTATCGCCCTTCTCCCCACCTGCAGCTTTTTTTTCCGAACCCTCAGTCAAGCGTCGAACTCGAAACCTTCCACCACGGGGCAGAATTGAATGCACATACGACTCAAACAATAATCCATAGACCACTGCAAAAGAGCCGATGTTTGAACAAGAAGAAAGAAATGCCAGTAATCTTCCCCTGTTTTTCGCAAACACATTGTGAAAACCATGTTGAGGACGTGTCTCGACGCAAATCCATACCCCTCATTAGTGAAATCGTCCTTGACGCGAAAGTGAAGTATCCGGTGCGATATCATCATATCATTCGCGCTCATCTTTCCATTCGAATTGACGATCGCCTCCAAATTAACCTCATCAATCGCTTCAACTAGCAAATCCTGTTGATCCTGATCCATCGCAAAGCACAAGACATAGCGTGCAACGCCGCCCCACCTACGATAACATTCCATCACGCATTCCAATGGCCTGTCTGAGTACATCAGCTCACGACATTGCAGAATCTCTTGCTCAGTCCAGACAGGCATATAAAACCGTTTGCAATGGTCTTTATGAAAAGCCTTCCAGACCTTCGGTCGTGGTGATGTAAGAAGGATTGTCTTCGCCGCGTAGTTAATTGGCGCGATGGCATCCACAACGTAAAATGTTTCACTCTGATTGAGAACATCTTTATAATCCGTGTTCGATCCTGCAACCGCTGTCCCGCCACAGAACAAGAAACGATCCTCCCCTCTGGCAGGCTCGAAAACCACTGTTTCATTACGACGTGCAAGATGTAGCAAGATGAAATAGCCAAAAAACGTTTTGCCGATTCCCGGGTTGCCGAGAATCACAAGATTGTGAATTTCTGGGCGCTTTAGAGCACCCAAACAAACGTTCCATAGCTGCGGATAGCAATGACGTACGTACATACAAGAGCCATATTTCTCCTGGCCAAGAATAAATGTGTTTTCTGGTAATGCGATAAGATTACCAGCAATGAGGTCGGTATTGGTGTAATCTTCTCGAAACGCTTTCCAGAATTTCGCCAGTCGAATACCCAGATTCAATTTTCCTGACGTGACAGTCTGCGGAAGCACCACCAACACGTGGACAACGTCTTCTCCAAGAAAAAGACCGGAACCGAACAGGCTTGACCTGCCTAATTTCCACGACGCGTCCATCTTCTCCATATGATCCAGAAATTCTTCAGTCCGAAGCAATTCGTCCAGATCAGCGTCATATGACAGCCACGTCCTGTCCTTTTTCGCCAGATAGAGCTGCAGGTCACTGGCAACGCAAGTGATTTTCGGTCCTTGCTTCTCCTTGATTGCATTCTTTAAGTGACCTACCAGTCGGCTCGTGTCAATGTCCACGACGAAGTTGCTGTCAGGCACACCGACGATGGCGCAAACCAGCGTAACTACGACCATAGTCTTTTGCATTTTGATTCAGTTTTTTGAACTGCATTACTTATAGCAAAGAGCGAGCGTCAGAACTTGCTCCTCTATCTTATTCTTAACCGATGTGACGACTCACTACATAATCGATTGTGCGTTTGAGCCGGAATTACATGAATCAGTCGTTTTAGCGTCGTGCTCTACATCTCTTGACATTTGCAAGTGCGTACGTGGTCTGTAATTAAGTGTATAGCAATTGTACTAGCTCCGTGATAAGAGCTCGAAAAACTCACGGTATTACCATCCAGGTGACCTAAGGCGCAAACTACAAATAATTGGTCACCTCCGCGCGACTAGTATGTCCGAGGCACTGTAGTGCAGCGCTCTTGACGTACATGGTATATCGGGAGCATCGATGACAATTCAGCACATCCCTACTATGGGTCCAAGGCGAAGACGCGCGCAGCGGTGGTATGATTAGGCAGCTGAAAGCAGTGGTCTACAAGTAACAGCGGGATGTGACCGATCAATCGAGTTACGTTTTGGGGTTATGACATGCAGAGACACTGTAAGCGAGCTGCAAATTACTCTTTAGCATCACTTCTCAAGGCCACGCTTATCAGTTCGTTTGTTAGTTCTAACTAGGAAAAGAAAGACACATGCACGGCGTTAGAAAGAAGGAGTTGGTGTTGTTACTGGAGCAGCCAACGTTTAGCTTCCATTCGGACACGAAAGTAGCGTGAAATGTCGATCACTTCTTTAACGTCTTTCTCGCATCAATCGTGTCTTGGACTTTCCACATACTGGGATCAAGAGTGCAACCATTAAGACAACATCACAGAATTCTGTCCCTGCCCTTTCCCATCACGTGTCGTTTCTCGTCATGAGTGTAGAACGGTCTGCCTTTGTATTGGTCAATTTCCGCTGCTCGTTTTTTAATGCAAAACAATGTCCCAATTTTTGCCATTCGAGAATCTGCCACCTCTCCGAAAGATGGTCGTAGTTACGCTGGTTTGCGCCATCGTCGGTGTGCCTGACAGCAACTTCGTCGTGGACATTGACACGAGCCGACTGGTAGGTCACTTAAAGAATGCAATCAAGGAGAAGCAAGGACCGAAAATCACTTGCGTTGCCAGTGACCTGCAGCTCTATCTGGCGAAAAAGGACGGGACGTGGCTGTCATATGACGCTGATCTGGACGAATTGCTTCGGACTGAAGGATTTCTGGATCATATGGAGAAGATGGACGCGTCGTGGAAATTAGGCAGGTCAAGCCTGTTCGGTTCCGGTCTTTTTCTTGGAGAAGACGTTGTCCACGTGTTGGTGGTGCTTCCGCAGACTGTCACGTCAGGAAAATTGAATCTGGGTATTCGACTGGCGAAATTCTGGAAAGCGTTTCGAGAAGATTACACCAATACCGACCTCGTTGCTGGTAATCTTATCGCATTACCAGAAAACACATTTATTCTTGGCCAGGAGAAATATGGCTCTCGTATGTACGTACGTCATTGCTATCCGCAGCTATGGAACGTTTGTTTGGGTGCTCTAAAGCGCCCAGAAATTCACAATCTTGTGATTCTCGGCAACCCGGGAATCGGCAAAACGTTTTTTGGCTATTTCATCTTGCTACATCTTGCACGTCGTAATGAAACAGTGGTTTTCGAGCCTGCCAGAGGGGAGGATCGTTTCTTGTTCTGTGGCGGGACAGCGGTTGCAGGATCGAACACGGATTATAAAGATGTTCTCAATCAGAGTGAAACATTTTACGTTGTGGATGCCATCGCGCCAATTAACTACGCGGCGAAGACAATCCTTCTTACATCACCACGACCGAAGGTCTGGAAGGCTTTTCATAAAGACCATTGCAAACGGTTTTATATGCCTGTCTGGACTGAGCAAGAGATTCTGCAATGTCGTGAGCTGATGTATTCGGACAGGCCATTGGAATGCGTGATGGAATGTTATCGTAGGTGGGGCGGCATTGCACGCTATGTCTTGTGCTTTGCGATGGATCAGGATCAACAGGATTTGCTAGTTGAAGCGATTGATGAGGTTAATTTGGAGGCGATCGTCAATTCAAATGGAAAGATGAGCGCGAATGATATGATGATATCGCACCGGATACTTCACTTTCGTGTCAAGGACGATTTCACTAATGAGGGGTATGGATTTGCGTCGAGACACGTCCTCAACATGGTTTATCACAATGTGTTTGCGAAAAACAGGGGAAGATTACTGGCATTTCTTTCTTCCTGTTCAAAGATTGGCCCTTTTGCAGTGGTCTATGGATTATTGTTTGAGTCGTATGTGCATTCAATTCTGCCCCGTGGTGGAAGGTTTCGAGTTCGACGCTTGACTGAGGGTTCGGAAAAAAAAGCTGCAGGTGGGGAGAAGGGCGATAGCAAGATTACACGAGTCACCACTGATGAAGATATTGAAGAAGTTGTGTTGCAAGAACGGGAAGTTACCGTTTTCGAGGGAAACGCTCGAGTGACCGCTGACGATCCGCCAACATACCTGTTGCCTGCTTCTGGTAATTTTGAATCGGTGGACGCAATGGGCACGCCGAATGAACTTTTCCAAATGACTTGTGCAAAAGTGCACCCTTGCAAACGTCAAGGTCTTCGCAGAGTTCTGGATATGCTTGGAGATCCAGCTGAACCGCGGTTGTATTTTGTTGTTCCAGCTGATGTCTTTGGGGATTTTGAATTTCAAAACTATCAGAAAAGCAGGAGGAAAAAGGCGAAAGACACGCTGGACACTGACGATAACCTGAAGGAGCTGAAGCAATATGTCATGGAAATTCCTCTTGTAGAGGAAAGTAAAAGAATGAGACCTCACGAGGAAGATTGTACATGCCACCAGTCAAAAATGGCGAAGCTCGACATCAAGTAAACTTGGCTGCGAGGTGGCATGGACGGATCAGGTTAAACGTAGTGTTGGTGTGATGTTCTAGCAGGTAGCGTGAGTGGACGAGCTGGTACAGTCACCGCCACTTTATCAGCTTTGTATGTGAAGAACATAATAGTACGAGGTTCAGAATAAAAAACACACAACGCTTCATTTCACATGCTTTTACAATGCTGTGGTAGATAAGTGTCTGGTCTCCTTAACCGACCCTAGTCAACACGGAGAAGCAAGTGTTGTTGGCGTGCACCAATGCAAATCCTTGTACCATCACGACACATCGCTCTTCCTTGTCTTGGTCTGTGAATTCAAAAGACTGCATGGTTCCGTATATGATCGCTCATCGACAGTGCCTGACACTTGCACTGCAACTGCAACTTGTGCTGATGGTCTTCTACTTGATGGTCTTCTACTCTCGATCGCCAAGGGGCCATAAAGCGGATCATTCACAATGGGGAAGCCCAATGCTGTGAATGGACGCGGATGTGGTGCGTCCGTCCTGTCACAAGTCGACTCTCCCCGACAAGGCTTTGACCATCCCTTCCATTTCTTTTGTAGGACGATGCATGAGCGTAACACGAGACTTTGCAGACGGAGCTCCGTCACACATCGCACATGTTCTTGGCGTGGCGACTTCAATCTCATTGGAGCCATCACACGCCAGTAGCAGTCACCCGCAGCTTCGATCGTTACCAGCCTCGAGCACAAGCCTTTAACATGCACCTATGCCGAAATTGCTTCATCCTGCGGGAACTCGCCCGTTTTTCACTCATGCGATGTAAAACGTCTGCGTGACGCAAATTTCCGCACCTCTGACCAACGAACAAGCCGTCAGCTCGGTCATAAGACTACGCGCCTTCTCTGCCGACTGGACAATGGACATTCGGTTCATGTCGGTGCTTCAAGTGGTCGATAAAGTCTCCACTTTAAATCACTGAGTCCAGACTTGCCTCGCTTCCATTTACTCGCACGAGTCCCGATTGCACCGCCGGAGCGCAATACCCGGGAGAGAGCGTCGGAACCTCGCGAGCAACCACTTCATCCAACGACTTGCCCGTTCACCGACCGAACCTTAGCAAACGAGGCGAAGCGATACACATTTGGATCAATATGGTGGACTGACACACGCACTGCCTACGGTCGATTGGTACACGTGGTGGACGAGCACGGACACGAGTGGACGGAGGGGACGAGCTCGAAATGTGCGCCCCGATGGCTTTAACGCTATTTCCGACGCTTCCGTGAGAACTTGGGATTGCCACCAGTCAATTGAGAAGCGTTGCACGCAGCCAGCCAGCCAGCCATTGCGTTTTCTCCTGCTTCCGACGCAGCTTCTTGCTGAGCGGAGGTGGGTCGTCCGCCATCGACGATCAGTGGACACACTATCGTACACGAATAAGGCTGTAAATCTATGATTAATTAGGGGTATTGATAAATATACCCCACTTTTTAAAAATACACCACACGCACCACACCCGTCTCACACCATTATACCGTCGTGACCGATGTTGCTCCACCATCCCTCGGCACGACCGACTCCCATAAATATTGACTTCTATCATACGAATGGTAGGTGTTTTCACCGACAACCTTATAAAGGCGCAATGATTGACTTGACGCTCTTTTCATTTGCTAGCGACCTGACAAAAGACCCAGACGCACTCGTCGCCACATGTAGCAAGGCTGTGTTGTGTTATGAGAACTAACAATCGCGTGATGCTGTGTCTTTATTAAACGACTAATGATCGTGTAGTGCTGTGTTATTTTAACAGGACTGACGATCGCGTGGTACTGTACGACAGGTCAATTGTAGGTAAATGTGCTTACAATTTTATGCTTCGTGTGGTGACCAATTTCGCGTATCCAAAGCTGGCTGCTAATATCTGCATGAGAATTTAGCGACGGGTAGTTCAGGAGCAGACTGGTCACATGGCAGGAGACGACGTCGCTAAAATTGGAACATTCAATGAAATATGTAAAACAGTCAAGAGGTAAACATGGATCCCACAGATCGGTATTGAATAACGCGAAGTGGACGCGTATTACTGATATCTAAACATGCCTCTGTGTCTGACTTTAGGATCCGAGGGAAGAAGACATTCAGCTATGTAGTGCAAGTGCTCGTAGTCGTTTCGCCTACTGGGTGGGTGTGCGAATGTGTCAGGCAAAGAACTGCTGTTGCTATATACGGCTGAACAAAGCTGTCGGTGCAACGCACGCCAGATCTCAAACTTGCAGACTTTATTTTCGATGCAAAATTGACGGTGAGGGCATCAATATGCAGATTTGTAACAATGTTCAAATTAGCCGCTCAGACTAAAGCTTGCACGGGTAATTTAAGCTGGATATTATGCGCTTAGTGAATTCGGGGTACCTCCATTACATAATATTTACGAAGTCAACTAAGTATGAATATTATGACAAGTATGATATTCTAACTATATTATCCTAATAGATTATATTGCTTCGCAGATGTAACACACTACTATTGGCTGATATAGGATCGAGGTATCATTCAATAAAGACTAGCCACGACAGAAGAACGCAATGAGTGGTGAGCAGATAGTTACAACACATGTTTGTACTTAAACGTAGTTAAACAGAGACTAAATAGGGATTTATTAACAGGAGATTAACAATACTAAATACTATTTCACTTTTTTACTTTACTGAGTACTCTTACCCGTTTGGCAAGCTTCTTTGCACGTACGTGTACGTGATGTAGTCGATCGCACATACCCTTTCATGTCAGCAGTGTAAGTTTTATTCAATTAGCAATATGAGGTGTGCCCTGTTACACCTGGGTTTGTAACTTGTTTACGGTTGCTGCTGTAGGGTGTTTCACACAGAAAAAACGACTCATGAACGGAACACCCTTTGTCTGGGTGCCACGAAACTTCACGTACACTAGAACGTGCAGAGGAAGCTAATCTACTCAACAGCTAAGCTGAGTAAAGGGTAAAAATAGAACTCTGTTTAATTTAGTTAAGCTATCAATATAACTTCAGTCTTTATCTAACTAGTTAATCTATGTCGTTGTACGACGACAACCTGCTCACCACTCATTGCGCGCGTCTAGCAGCGATTGGTGGCAATCTATGGTTGATGTGTCTTTTATCAACCAACCTTTGAGCAGCGCATGAATATTATCCTCCAAAGGGGATACTACTCCTTCAAAAAAAAATTCATATCGGATAATATTGGCAGGGTATTGTCATGCTAGACAGTATCTCTATTGACACCGTTTGGTGTCAATATCATGTAACGGCCTACCCCGTTACAACTCAGCAACTGCGCTGATGGACTGAGTATGAATGCGCTGCTTCATACAAGCACGACGTTCGTTAGTCGCTGTTGAAAAATTTATAATTAAAGCTTTTGGGCCCGTACGAGTAAGGCACCGTTATAAACGTCTCTTGTCGAATTGTGACCTACTTCTTTCAAGATTGACAAAGATTTGCATCCTGCCACTATTTCTTGAAGACACCATATATAGCTTTTTCCGTAGCTATGGTGCATTATACACTTATGTCTGCTACCAACGTCTTACTGACGTTGTTAATGTGCTTTTAAAGACATTTGTATCATCACAATGCTTTGATGTCAGGTTTTCCGTCGATAATTATAGAAAAGAATGGAACAGATACACGTGTTTCACTGTGACGTAACCGTATGCATATTTCCGTTGCGCGTTACAACTTCGATTGCCTCTGACAAATGAAACTGTATTATAGAATATAACATGTCCATCAATCGAGCCTACCCTGTATCTGCTTTATCCTTCCTGTGAGCTCTGCAACACTCGAATTATGGATATGAAGGGCATCTAAAGGTGTCTATGGACTATCTGCAGCAAGATTTTAAGCTTGCTAGTGATTTCCATTTAAATGCAGCAGTGGAATTTCAGATGCGCCAGCCCTTGTGGTGTATGGTAAGTAGATTGATGCACGACACTCATCATTCAGAATTTTACTCAAGCAGGAAAAGAAGCTTGAAGCCGGAAGTTCGCATTGTATTTTGTAACCAGCTGATTAAAGGCACTAAATTGTTCTATTTTATATCCAGCTCAAAGGAGTTCAAGACCAACAGTACCGCGACCAAATACTTGTTTCCAGAAAGTGATGCGTTGTTGACAGATTCATAGGAGTTCTCCTTGTACGGTATACCACATAATTATGGTGTCCTTTAGTCTTTTTTTGCCATTCAGATGAAATTTAATGGCTTGGAATCTGCAGTGGACGTCTGCAGGTGCTTCAGTTACCCTAATTATGATTTCATACCAAGCATGCATCATTTTTGTCGTTCGCGCATCGGACAAGTACGTCTTGTCGTGGATCACACCGCACTTACCACAATGACATTGTTTCGTCGCATAGTCGAATGCTGATAAGTCGCGCTCTGCAAAATTCTTTACTTTGTGTTTGGCACCATACGTTCGTCCTTTCGGCATCACCACCAATGGATTTAGAGGCGAGGGCGTCCCAACCTGCACTGAGCTCTTTAATTTGCAATATGGCTATACCGTGTTGAGCAGGTGGCCATTCCACATAAAAATTCAAAATTCCGAAGTTGCTCTGTAAGGATCTCGAAATGCCCAACACGCAGTTCACTTGCTCGGACAATCTCATGCGCGCATGAAATACCAAATGTGCGTCGAAATGTGCCTCGGAAAGCCGATGATTGCCCTTTTCTAATCGTCTTAGATGCCAAACCCGCTGTTCTCTGATATGCCTTAAAGTATAACGGCTCACATATCCGACAAGGTTCTTGATTATCGTGATTAGGTTGCTCCTAGATTATGAGTACCGACAACTTCTGAGCAGCTATAGAAGCATAATACTCATTTACCTGACGTATTAGCAAATGTGAAATCCGTTCTTGTACTGCATACAAGTTTCCTGTGCTAACTGGCAGATATCTTGTTAAGGCTGCATGTGCACCTTTAATGGCGTATGTCGCCGTGTTGCGAAGATGTTGACAATCATTGGTCCAATCTGCTACAAACCTTTTCTTGTTATAAAGACACGTTCTTTTATGTTATGTATAAAAAGTGGAATGTCAGCAGTATCAGTGAACTGATCCATATTTTTTGTATTAAATTTAACGTATGCTTTGGCGCACCAGACTTTTGCCGATTCCTTCATGAACTGTGCGCGACACTAATCACATTATATGTGTTTCTTGGATTAAGCGAGTACATTCTTTTCGATGTGCCAAACGCAAAGATAAAGACGCAAACTTGAAAAAGTGAGCGATTGCAGCAGAAAGTCTCTTATCTGCGTCAGAAACAACGACTAATGGGATCTTGCTATATAACAAGTCTCGTGCCTACCCATTCGACGAGAAAATTTCCTCATCCTAACACTAACTTCACCGGCCCCTTAGATATCCATAACCTAAAATGGAGGCGTAATTCAACCAATATTAGTATCTCTTTTACCAGATCGGTAAGGAGTACCACCAATTTGTATCGAGTTGCATCATCATTTAAAGATTACGCCGATAGATATAATTCACTTAACCACAGTATCCATCGATTAAGTTCTGCCGTATCAACTTCTCATCTCGTGAGATCGACAAGTTACCCAAAACGCTGCTTGACAGGATCGCCATTATTACTTGTAATCGAAAGGGTCGTTCATCTTACATTAAGTCTTCACCTCTGCTCATAACACCCATCCGATCGTGATATTCATCAGCTAACTAATAATATGCTCCAATCTTTATCCACAAACAGACAGCCCCATGACTGCGGCATATGATTCCTCCTAGCACACCCTCCAAGCCACTCCTCCACCTTATAAATCCATCATGTATATGCACTCACTCCTTGTAAATTTCTATGCTTCAAACTGCTCTTGACTTCTCTTCTAGATGCTTTTGTCATTTCCAATACTCTGACCATCGTCTGGTGCTGCAAAAACTGCGTTTATGTTCCAATTCCAATCTCGTTTGTGTGCAAGAGATTTCTTATCAACCAAGAGCGCAATTTGTCCAACATCTTGCGTCGTGATGACTCGATACGAGGCGCTATCATTGGATCACCAAATTAGAGTCGTTGCAGAATGCAGTGCATCCCCTGTACCGTCCAAAAAGACACCGATTCCCCAATCATCCATTCGGGAAGGTTTTTACGATCATACTGAGCGAGCAACAGACTACTTAGACTCGGATCGATTCATCAAGAATCGCAATCAGAAACTCTCGTTTCTTCAGTAGCTTTTGAAATTAATACGACTCGTTTCAATCTTTCATGTGGGCAGATTGCAAGCAGCATCCAGTCAAGTTCTCTACGTGGCGTAATGTTCACTGTAAACATACCTTAAGTTTTATTCTCTTATTCCACAGCTCTGAATCTCTTTCG